GCTTAAATTTTCTTACGGGCAGAAATTATGTGGTTTAATCTTATTTTTAGTGAGTGAAATATGTTTCATCTTTATAGGCCATTTTTATTTATTTTGTGATTTTCTGAATATGAACAATTGCCTTTTTTCACTTTGTGAGAGCTCTTTACATACCAAAACCATTGATCCTTTTCCAAACTTAGCACCATTTCCCCGCAGTTTATTGTCTTCAGATACGCTGATGTGTTCTGAGGTAAATGCAGTTTTAATTTTTATGTAGCCAGATTATTTTCAGGTAACACTTCTGGGGCTGTCATGCCTCCCAAGTGCTTTCTGACTGAAGAGCGGGTCAACACAGACCAGATTTTCTTCTTTTTTGGCATTTATACACCCAGTATTACTGTATACTGGGAAAGCCATCTCATTGGAACTGCTCCGGAGCTTGCTAAGAATGCAGATTCCTGGGCCCCACCTCAGAACCAGCATCTCTGAGAACAGGCTCTCGGTATCGCCTTAGTTAGCAAGTGTCACAGTGGTTTTAATGGACACGGAAGTTGGAAAGCAACCACTCAAAGGAACTAGAATGTTCTACCGTGTATGGTCTAAAAAGAGGACATAATTTTATTTTCCTGCCCAATAGACAGTTTCTTCAGCACCAGCCACTTGCCAATAACCCAACTTTCCCAGAACAGTCTGTAGGAAGAATTTTCTCACACGTGGAGTTACTTAAAGCTGGAATCTGTTGGCCAGTAATGAGCTCACAGTCTCACAAGTGTCCAAGCCCTGGACCACCTGAGATCTTGGGGTCTCAGGGTCTGAACAGGCAGTCAGATGAAGTGACATTTCATAAGGTACTCGAATCCCTGCTTTTTTTTCCAAATGCACCGAACGCCTCTTTGCAGCTAACACGAAACCCAAGAAAAAGAACTTTAAACGTACAGGGTCGGGGCTGAGACAGCTTTCTATTTGACAGAAAAGCCAAAGGATAAACCCCGGCATTCTGGGACATGCCTGCAGCAGCATGCCCAAGCCCAGCGCCCCGTCTGTCTTATTTTGTGGCCCAAGCCCCTTGTGGGGGAGGCTGGGAGCTCCTAAAAGACTAGGCTGCCCATTGCAAATGCAGATTGATGGCCAGGCCACTGCTACCCCAGGCATCTGTTCCGATGGGTCCTCCTCCCTGAGGAGTGTGACAGAACATACAAACGCATGACCGGTGCACAGCGTGCAGATGGCAGGGGACAGGAGGACCACAGTCTCCCCCCCTCACCCCCAGGCCCTTACAGGCAAAGCCAGGAAACCAGAGAACCAGGCCCTGGGCATATAAAGGGGTGTATGTCCAGTCCCTCCCGGGAGGTTAGACAGCGTGGGGACCGTCTTGCAGCCCCGTCATGCAGATGGGACACTGAAGTCCAGCCAGGGGGAGCTGGTGCTCAAGGAGGAGCAGAGCCAGCTTAGGCATTTAGGATTTGCCATTACTCTAAAGCAGCGGTTCCCAAAGTGTGGTCCTGGAACCTGCAGCATCCGTATCTCTTGGGAACATGTTAGAGATGCAAATTCTGAGGCCTCTAGGACCCCGAATTGTGCCATCAGAAGCTCCGGGAGTGGGGCCACACTCTGTGTTTTCACAAGTCTTCCCGATGATGGTTCGAATCTAAGAATCATTGGCCCGGCACATGCCCACATTACAGGGAGAGTGATGGGATACTTTAGATCTCTCTGGAAAGCAGATGTCATGGGGAGAGGGAGATCCAAGAAAGGTTAAGAAAATGGGAGTCTCCCTGCAAGGGACTGAATGAGTCCTCCCACTCCAAATTCACAGGGTAAAATCCTAACCCCCAGTGTGTTAGGAGGTGAGGCCTCTGGGAGGGTTAGGTCATGAGGGTGGAGCCCCCCATGAGTGGGATTAGTGCCCTGATAAGAAAGACCCCACAGAGCTGCCTCGTTCACCACTCAAAGGCACAAGAAGATGGTCGTCTATGAACAGGAAATGGACCTTCACCAGACCCTTCCAGTTTCCGTAAGTGTGAGAAATAAATGTCTGTTGTTTAAGCCTCCAGTCTGGGCTTCTGTGATAGCAACTCAAGTGGACTAAGACACCCCTATGTGTGGCCTCCGGGTCCAAGGATAAATCTCTTAGCCTGGCCCATGGACCCCACAACGGTCCTGCAGTCCACCTTCTCAACCACCCGTCAGGTTCTTCATGCACCAGCCAAACTGGAAGCCCCTCGCCTCGTGTTCCGTTCCCTTTCTGAGCCGTCCCACAACCCTGGCCTTCTCAAATCCGACTCAAGCCCCACCTGAGACGTCCTCTTTTCTCCAAAGTCCTGTGAGATCAGATCTTGAAACCATAGTCTGTTCCCTCCTCGGTTCCCCTTTGTTTAAGCTACTCGTAGAGACCTGACCACACTCAGCCTGATTCTATGTAGCTTCCTTCATTGATTCAGCAGCCAAATCCTTCTCATGCTCCTGCCTTCCCTCCCTCAGAGCCTCCTGTCCCCTCTCCCAACAGCGCCTGGAAAACAGCGACCCTCGTGTTTGTTGACTGCATAGCAGCATCTTTTCTGAAACTCTTCTTTGAGAGTTAATGTGCTGACCGCTGTTTGCAGCTTGTCAATTGTTCTTAGCTGGCAAATGTTACCCAAACGATAAACCAGTGCAGACCTCCAGAGGTGAATTCTTTCCAGGGCTGAAGGGTTGCTAGGAGGATTTTTACACCGCAACACAATAAAACCAAACCAGTGTCTTCCAGGTTAACCAAGCTCTCCCGACCCTGGCCTAAGAAGGTCAGACTCGGAGGGGACTCCCCTAGACAACCTCTTGCCCAATCTTGCAGATGGAAAACCGGCCTGGAGAGGGGCTTTGCCTGGCCGAGGTCTCTCTGAGAGCAGCATTCATTCCAGGCAGCTCTGGGACCCTTGGGAAGGCAGCAGGCACTGACTCGGTATTCAGCTTCTGAGAACCAGTGATGAGATGCCCCCGATAGACAAGTTCAGTACCCCCAGTCTGCCGTGCTCCCCAGTCTGCCGTGCTCCCCAGTCGGCTGTGGGTGAGGCGAGCTCCCATGCATCCTATAGCTCTGGGTGGCTCTGTATGAGAGTTCCCGTGGTTCGGATGTTCCTAAAAGCTAGGCATCTATCCAGAGCTCTTCTTAGACAAACCCGCCCCTGGCTGTGAGTCTGCGGCCTCCAACCTGGGACCTCCCACCTGACTGCTGCTTGCAACCCAGGAACCCCACTCTCTCTTCCCCAGTCCCAGCCTCCACGCCTGCCCATCCCCCAGGACAGAGAACAGCGCCCCCACCTCCAGGCTAGCTCCTGCCCACTTCGGGGGCACTGTGGTGAGAAAAGGAGGCTGGACAGGTAGGAAGATGGTCATGATGCTGGCAGGGTCTGCATGGCCGCTGGCTGGCTCAGTTCGAGCTGGGGCACTCTGAAGTCTGGGTGCCTGGAAGGGGAGTTCTGGGGACCGAATCTTGATCCCTTGGGTGTTTCCTGAAGTATCTGGGGTATCTTCTGGGGTTCTTGAGACTATCCCCTGACCAGCATACTCTAGGTTCCATGAGCAGTGAGATATATCTCACTGTCTCCATTTTGTCCAACATAAATTCCTGGGAGGAAAAAGAAATCTCTCTCACCTGCCCGGTGCTTTGACATCCCGTCCCAAGGACCAAAGCACCATCGGAGGTTACCTACACTTCCATTAACTCTCACAAGTGCCCTGCAAAGGAGGTGGTATCAATGACACTTGGCCAATGTGCAAACTGCAGCTCAGAGAGGTTAAGCGACTTACCTGGAACTGCACAGCCCAGGCGTGGCAAAGCTGGATGACAGAGTCCAAGTCCTGGTGTGGCTTCCTGAATGTGATTGCTTGCCTCTTTTCACTGCTTCCTCCAGGAAGCCCACCCTGACTGCCCCCAGCCTCCCTCTCTAAGAGGCATTCATTTCCCAAGGACCTTCTACCTCCAGCTCTTTACCTAGCACAATGCTGAGCACATGTGGGTGACTCAATAAGTCTTGGTTGAGTGATTGTTGCAGGAGACCCCTGGCACCCCTTGACATCACCGTGTAATTTCTTCCTTTTTCTCGGGAGGAAGATGAAATTAATGCGCTGTGACTATTTAGACAAATGTGCCCTTATTGAAAACGACATCATTCATATCACAATGTGAATATGAATAACATGAGTTGTGCCCCAGGGGATGCCAACAACGTGAATGGTGTCCCTGGAGCTGTGCCCTGATGCTGTATGAGAGCTTGTGAGAAGTCCTTCTCAATAGAGAGGCAGGCTTGCTGACTGTGGGCTGTTGCCACGGCAACCCTGGGGCAGGGACTCGCCCCTTTGGCGTTCCGAGGAACTGAGCATCCTGTGTTTGAACGTCGCCACTGAGCCTGCCTCAAGTAAGGAGAGCAAGTTGTGCCCTAGCACGAAGCCAGGACTGAGGATGGCTTATAGCAGAGCGTGGAAAGGACGAGTCCTGGCCAATCCAGGGAGCCTCGGGTCACATCATGCCTGAAATCCACCCGGCCACTGAGCTTCATTCAGGTCATGATGCAAACATGCCCCGTGAGAAGAGTCAAACCACCTCAAAAAAAGAACAGAGTTGGAGGACTCCCATCTCCCCATTTCAAAATTTACCCCAAAGCTCCAGTAACCGAGACAGTGTGGTATTGGCATAGGATAGACATCGAGACCAATGCAATAGAATTGAGGTCCAGAAATTTACCCTCACATTTGTAGGCAATTGATTTTTGACAAGGGAGAAGAGACGATTCAAGGGGGACAGGATAGGTTTTTTTCAAAAGATGAATATCTTTATGCAAAAGAATGAAATCGGACCCCTATCCCATACTATATACACAAGTTAACTAAAAATGGATCATAAACCTAAATATTAGAGCAAAACTATAGATTTCTTATTAGAAAGCTTAGGTGTAAATCTTCATGACTTGGGATTATAGTTTTTGCAATGTGATGTGATGCCTAAAGACAAGTAACCAAAGGAAAAAAATAGCTTAACTGGATTTCATCAAAACTAAAAGCTCTTGTTCTTTAAAGGACACAATCAAATGAAAAGACAACCCACAGAAGGGGAGAAAATATTTGCAAACACATATATCTGATAAGGGACTTCTATCTAGAATATATCTTAGAATGCAACAATTAAAAAAACTCCAAATAATCCAATTTAAAAGTGGACAAAGGATTTGAATAGACATTTCTTCAAAGAAGAGATACGAATAGCCAATAAGCACATGAAAGATGCTCAATGTCGTTAGTCACCAGGGAAACGCAGAGTGAAACCATAGTGAGATACGACTTCACACCCCCTGGGATGGCTGAATTATGAAAGACAGACAATACCAAGTGTGGACAGGATGTGGAGAAATTGGAACCCTCACACATTGATCATGGGATTGTGAAATCATGCAGCCACTCTGAAAAACAGTTTGGCAGTTCCTCAGAATGTTAAATATATAATTACCACATGATTCAGCAATTCCTCTCAGTGGTATCTAGCCAAGATAACTGAACATTTATGTCCGCACTAAAACCCGTATGTGCATGTTCATGGCAGCATTCTTCACAACAGCCAAAAAACCCGGAAACAACCCAGATGTTCATCAACTGATCCACTGGTCCACACAGTGGAACATTATTCAGCCCTAAAAAGGAATGAAGTAGTGATTGATACCATGACGCGGATCAACCTTGAAAACATTATGCTAAGTGAGAGAAACCAGATGCAAAATGTATCTTTTTGGAGTGAAGAAATGTTCTGGGTAGTAGTGATGGTTGCCCAGTTCTGACTGAACTGAAAACACGAAGTGTATGCTTTAAGAGGGGAAATGTTATGGCATGTGAATTATAGCCTAGTAAAGGTATTATTAAAAAGAAAAAAAAGATGTGCTCTGTGGTCAGTAGAAGCCAGAGGCAGGTCAGAAGTCAGGGACACATTCTCTGTACCTCGGCATCAGCATATGGCGGGTGGGGGGCTGGTCCTGGGGGGCAGTGAGAAGGGGAAGCTCAGGGGACTCAACCGAGAGTCTGAGGTTTCAACTGACGAGGCTCCCTTAGTCACTGAAATGTGTCCTCTCAGAGTGCACATGTGAGTGTAAATGCGTGGTCACACTGTGTGCATCTCCGTGTGTTTGCAGGTGCTTCTGTGTATGTTTCACGTGTATTGTTAGGTGTGTAGAAAGCACACGAATGTCCACGTGCGTGTGTACATTGTGCGCGCGTGTGAGTGAGTGTGTGTGTGTGTGTGTGATGTACCAGGGTGGGGCCACAAAGACCAGGTAGGGCGGGAGTTTCTTTATACCTGCTTCTGATCCTGCCCCAAATGGGAGCTCATTACAAGTTTGTCGAGTGACTAATAGAGGCCCCAGACCTACTGCCCCAGGAGTCTGTGTAGCCACGGAGGGGCAGGCTCATGGGGGCTAAATGTGAATGCACCATGAGCTGAGGCTCAGGAGAGGCTGAGGCTGGAGACCAGCCTGGGGTGGCAGGGAGGCCTCACCTGAATCAGGTCAAGTTTAGAGAAGAGGCCCATGCTCTTGGGCGTGCTGTGGGCAGAGGGGGAGCACTGCTGGACCATGTTGTTGATGGCCATTTGCAGGTAGTCGAGCAGCTGGTTCTGCAAGAGGAAGAGGAGGAGGAGGAGGAGGAAGAGGTTCTGGTTCTCTCCCAGCATCCCCCTGCCCCCTATCCCCAGCTCACTCAGGCCAGAGAAGCCACCTTCTCATCCTGCTCTGTGCTGCAATCCCAGAGGGCCTTGCTTGAGTCCCTCCCACCCCAGGGCCTGAGCATCCTCCCCTGCCATGAGGGACATTGAACTAACTTCCCAGAGGGTCCTCCTAGCTGGAGACACCTGTGGTCCACACCTGGGGCAGGGCCTGGGAAGGGTCTTGGAGGAACCTGGAGCTCCTCACTCTGGGCGGCACCGGAGTCCTAGACTTCAGGTCTTCAGGGCTGTGGCCAGCGGTGGCAGCCTTGCTTCCCATCTTGAAGAGAAAGATCCAGAAGGGGCTCTATAAATAGTGGCCAATCCACTCCCTCCCTAAGCCCCTTGGCTGGAGGTCAGCAACATGTAGATCCCTATCCTCATGTCTTCCAAATTAAGATTGCATGGGGACTGAGAAGCCCCTGCCTTTGCTGACCACACTCTGACCAGGTGGAGTGTGCCCCAGGCCTTGCTCCTGGTGTCTTCCCAGCAGCCCCTACGGCTGGGAGGGCACGGGCTCTGGTTTTAGTGAGGACCCAGGGACCAGAGGGTAACCAGTCCCCATTCCAAAGGCCAGGAAGGAACAGCTAGAGAGCTTAAGCCCAGAAATCCTGGCCCCTGGGCATGGGCTTTGGCCATGACTTATTCTTTCTAAATATTATTTTTCTCATCTGTGAAATAGATACAGAAATGAGTCCACCAACATTTAGAAGTGCCTGTCCTGGGTTAGGGGGCTAAGCACTGCCTGGGATGATCACAGAGACGTATGAATTCCTGCAGATAGTGCGTAATAACTCACTTAAATGCCACTGTTCTGTTGTTAACCACAAGCATCACAGAAGGACTGGGTAAGCACCCAGCTATGCCAAGCCCTGGGACGGGGCTGGGGATCCCAGCTCTGGTTCTTGGGAGAGCTTGTCTCTTGCCCCTCTGTGGCCTCAGTTTTCCCATCTGTAAAGTAGTTTCTGCCCCATCTTCGGGAAGCCCTTTGGAAGCAGACAGTCAGCAGGGCGAGGTAAGTGGGGGGGGTGTGTGAGTGTGGGGGGCGTGATGCTTACTGAGGAGACAGCAGCCCCCAGCCCTGCCCCCACCCCACCCCCATCCCACAGATCGGACTCACATTATAGCTGTCCATGTCCTTCTGGGAGGTGACACGGTGTCCCAACTGCCCCCACTGCTTCTGCTCGTGATGACATCGCTTTTGCAGCTGACACAGCCGAATCTTGAGGCTCTGCGATGGGAGAGGCTGTGTCACCTGGGTGCAGCGAAGTCTGCTGGGCTGGGCCTGAGGAGCTCACTGCCCCGGGGCGGGGGGCGGGGTCTGTGCCATGATGGGGGTGAGTGGAGGGGAAAGCTCTGGGTCTTCTAGCTGTTCAAGGCACCAGGAAAGGCCCGAAAGGGCATGTCCAGACTGACTGGGGTTTGAATGTTGGCTCACGGCCCCCAGAGCCCCTCTTCCTCCCGTAACCAGAGCCAAGAGTCTGTGCCCTTGTGGACGGCCTCCCGTGGCCCAGCCTGCTCCACACAGGGCTGTACGGGCCACACCTCACCGCGAGGCCCCATGGGGCGTGAGTTTGGACACGGGACATACACAGGTGTCCTCACTTCTCTGCCTCTTAGTCTCCTCCCCTGGAAAGTGGGAAGAAGAGCGCAGCTGGGTCTAAGGTGCGAAATTTAAGATGGGGTGGAAAAACTCAGCATATGCTTAAAATGAAGATAAATTAATTAAGATAAATAGTATCTTAATCCAATGTTTTTAAAAAATCAAAGTTAATACAAAGCATCCATGATGGACAAAATATTAAAATTTTAAATAAAGATGGGGTCCAACGAGCACTTGAATGCTCACCTCACTCACCTCCCCTTGTCTCAGGCCTAGGAATTAAAGCACTTAGCTCCAGGTGCTGGGGTGAGATTTAAATAAGATAAAGCAGGTAAACTGTGTCTCCCTCTGTCCTGCCCAATCATAGAGGGCCTGGCTCTCCAGAGGGAAAAAGGTGCAAAGTCATGTAGGTTTTCAGTGTGGCCACTAGGGGGCAGAGACTTGCTGCAAATATCACGCCCTGACCCTTTGCAAGAATCAAGCCATCCTCAGCCTTCCTCTCCTTGTCCCCTTCCCCTCCTTGGTCCCAGGCCCCAGCTGCAGCATGCAAATTCATCCTGCCATGCCTTTGCCTGGGCACTTTCTCCTGGCTGGAATGCCCGGCCCTCCTGGCAAAAGCTCTATGTATTATAAGATTAACCAAAAAGGACAGAGAGGTGACTTCTTGGGGCACGCACTTTGGCACTGTTCCGTGTCTCATGACACCCTATGAGCTAGGTTGCATTGCCATTTGACAGAGAAACTGAGGCTCAGAGAGGGGTCACCCTTGCCCAGGGTCATGCAGCTAGTCAGAGAGTGAAGTGCAATTGGAACCCGGTCTGTTTGAATCTAGAACTCGTGGCTTTTCTACCACCAAGAACACCTTTTGAGCATAAGCATTAAGTTTCAGGAGAAACCCCGAGTCAACCAGCAGACAGGGAGAGAAGGGGATACAGAACAAGGCTCTGGAGTGACAGGCCCACCCAGACCCTCTCTGCAGCCCACCGCTGCTCTGAGCCTTCCCCCCGAGGTGCAGAGGGAAGGGGGGCCCCTCTGCCCCCAGTCCTATGGGCTAAGGGCAAGGGACCAGGCTGCAGATAGCTGTTACCGGGATAAGAGCCCTGTGGCTCTCCTCTAGAGACTCCAGCCTCTGGTGGAAGACCTGGCTCATCTCGGAGAAGGCTTCCAGATGCTTCTGGATGTCCTGGCTGATTGTGAAGAGCTGCCCATAGTGCTCCACCATGGTCTCCACCAGGACCACCTCTGGCTCCTCTGTTTTCTCCCCTTCATTGTGGCCTAGGGAGACAGCCATGACGGAGTGGGTGGGCACAGAGAGCCCAGCCCTCACCTGCCCCTGCAGGGGTGATGCCAACGATGTGGATGGGACTTCTGCCACGGCTCTGCGATTCCAGCCGCAGGCCCACAGTTGAGAGGCGCCAGCCGACCCATGCGGGGCTTAGCCCAGGACAGCAGGTGCCCAGCTCCCTCACCCACCACCGGCCTCTTCAATTAACATTTGAAAGGTCCCCTAGCAGCCGAGAACCCAGATTCTGGAGCCAGGAGGCCCAGGGAGACAGGAGACGGTCCCCAAGGACCCGGAGCCTTCACCCCTCCTTGGCTTGGTGCTCAAAGCTTTTTGGTGCTGCTCAACCTTCCAGTCACCATCTCCCAGCAACCCCTGCCATGTCCTGGTGCTCCAGCCCACTGGAACTCAACATCCTCAAATTCACCATGCAGGCCTCTGGCTCCAGCCTACGTTGGTGCTGTTCCCTCTGCCTGAAATACCGTTCCCCTTTGCTGACCTCATTTGAGCCCCATGAGAGGCCACCTCTTCCGTGAAGCCTTCCCTGACATCCAGGACAGTTTGGGGGGCTCTCATCGCTCCACAGCATTTAGTGCAGCGGCTCTGAAGTCCAACCAGTCTGAGACCCAGCCCTACCACTTCCTGGCTGGGCATTTTGGGCAAGTTCCTTAACCTCTCTGAGCCTGGGTAACACAATTCTCAGAAGCTCATAGAGAGGGGTAAAAAAGATTTTCTAAAGAGGTTAGCACAAAGTTAGTTAATAGTCGTTAATAAATGGTAACTTAATAAATGGTAAGTTATTCTTATTATTGATGACGTTGAGCTAATGATGATAAAAATTCACGTTTGACCCCCCCTTCCCTTTCCTAACAAGCTTCTGGCACTGACAACAACGGGCTCCAGTTCTCATCAGGATAAAACAAACACAAAACCCATTTCTGGTGTCTGTGTAAGTTTAGCTGATCATCGCAAAACAAGAAACCAAAACCAGAGACACACAAAATAATGGCAATCATAGCTAACACGTACTGGGTGTTAGCTGAATGCCGGGCACCACACCACAGGCTCATGAAGGATGAGTTCATCCGATCTGCATAACCGGTCTTGTCCCCCTTGTACAGATCGTACACCAGCACCTCGAGAACTTGCCTCCAGCCACACTCGCGGCACTGGCAGGTCCCGGGCTCACCGGGCAGGCTCGCGTGGCCCCTGTGCCCTGTCTCTCCACTGTGGCATCGGCCTTTGTGGGTCCTCACTCTGCAGATGAGGTCAAGGCTCACACCGCGCCCTAGTCCCAAGGCTGAGAGGTGGCCGTGGAGACGAAGCGGCATACGTACCCTTAGGGATTATCTCAAGGACCTTAATCAGATAGTCTTCAAAAAGCTTGTGCTTCTCGACCTCTCTCTTCAGCTTCCTCTGCCTGCAGAGACATTTCAGTGACAGCAAGACACGGTTTGGAGGACCCCAGGTCGTGAGCTCTTGCAAGGCCACTCTCTGTGGATCTCCGGCTCAGACCTGCACTGGGCGGGCGCACCCCCCCCATCACCCCTGCTGACTTAAGCCTCTCCACCCCATTTCCTGCTGAGCAAACGGAGCCACAAACAGTTCAAAGAGCTGCCGTGGTCAGGCGTGAGGAAGGAGCACCAGGGAGAGGGGAGCCAGTCCTTCTGGTGTGGGGTGGGTGGGGGGTCTATGGAGCCTCCCTTAGAGGCTGGCCTGAGCCAACCCCCCCCCCGCCCCCGCCAACCAGCTGGTGACCTGGCTAGGTGCTTCACCTCTGTGCTTGGCTAGCCCATCTGTAGCGACAGTAACCAGAGCCCCTCCCTCACAGGCTGGCCGGGATCATGCGTGGGGCGCCCAGCACATAGCGAGCACTCAGTCTGGGGTTGGGGACCCCAGCACCCCCGGGAGGGGAGGCAACTGCATGCTGCTGCCTAGCCATTCTTGACTCTTAGGCGAGCCCCTGAGCAAGCAGAGTCTCCAGTCGGTCGCCTGCTCTGTGCCCAGTCAAGGTCAGCGGTCAAGGGCAGAGGCAGAGTGGGACCCGCCCCGGTCAGCGGGACTGTGGTGGGCTCTGGGAGTGACTGCTCAGGGACCCAGGGCAGGCCTCTCTGCCTCTCAGGCCCCGCTTCTCATCCATAAGGTCCTGAAAAATGCAGGGAAAAACCATTTTTCCCCACAAATACCATGTGGACCCTGCGCACCATGGCGTCCAACCTTAGTGGGGTCAGGAAGCCTGAATAGAATCTGATGGAAGGGTTGGACCTTTTCTCCACAAAGTTGCTCACAGACACATCCTTTTGCATCTGATTCAGGCTTTTATGGGCAGCCTGAAACTGACGGGCTGCCCGGAGGGTGAGGACCCAGGTCTCCACTCCGAGGCGGGGGGAGGGGGGACAGCCTCGTGGGTTGACTTTAGAGGGGCTGAGCTGACAGGTGCAGGGGATGGCCACCCACAGCCCTGCCTCCAGGACAGGAGACTAAGCCCACAGAGGGCCTGGGAGGACCCAAGGTCTGAGCTCGGGGAGCAGGAGCCACGCCCCCCCACCCCCTCCCCACGGCTGCCCCTCCTGTTTACTTCCAGGGATTGCTCCCCTCCTTGTCCCTTCCCTGCCTGGCCCTCAGGGATGTTTGCTCAGTCCCAGCCACCTAGTCCAGTGAGGACGCCACTGGGCCTGGGGCAGGGCCACAGCTGGGCCTGGGACTTCTCGTACTTCGCCTGGAGCTCGCAGAGTTCCTGTAACAGCACCTGCAGGTCCCTGTCCTTGTCGCTGCTAACGCTCCGGCCAGCCCCCTGGCTGGCGTCCACGGCCACCAGCATCGCCCCTCACCACCCCAGCGGGAGGACGAGGGCCACTTGGGCCAGGCGGGAAAACTGGTCAGCACTTTCTCTCCCGACTTTCCCAACAGCCCCCGGAAGCCAGGTCACGTTCCCAGTTCGTGGAAAAGGAAACAGAGGCTCAGAGGGGGACTGTGACCAGCTCAGGGACACACAGCAGGACTGAATCTGGACTTGAGGCTCACTGAAGCCAATGTCTGCGGTCTTCTAATAGGTGCTGGTTTCTCACAGCATTCAGGAGACAGCCCCAGGGTCAGGGCTAGGGGCTGGCTCAGAAAGCAGTGTGCATGGGGTGGGGACACCTTGGTGGCCTATCCTACCCACCAGCCCTCCACCCATTTCTGCATTCAGTGACATCACATACTCTGAGCGTGTAGAGAGCTCATCAAAGGAGCATGGAGGGGCGCCTGGGTGGCTCAGTTGTTAAGCAACTGCCTTCGGCTCAGGTCATGGTCCCAGGGTCCTGGGATCGAGTCCCATATCGGGCTCTCTCCTCTGCGGGAAGCCTGCTTCTCCCTCTCCCACTCCCCCTGCTTGTGTTCCCTCTCTCGCTGTGTCTCTCTCTGTCAAATAAATAAATAAAATCTTTAAAAAAAAAAAAAAAAGGAGCATGGAGGCTGAGGCAGACACTTTGAATGAGTTCATGGTCAGGCTGGGAAGGTGGCCTAGTTAACAGGTAGTTTCCACACGGCCTGGCAAAGAGCTCTGGACCATTTGCCTAAGTCTGGTTCCCGGTTATGGCCCAAAGGAGAAGAAAGTCTCCCTAAGCCTGCCATTCATTGGCCATCTGCTGGGCCAGCCACAGCATAGGGGTGGAGCAGGGAGAGAAGGGGAGAGGTTGCGTGGTCAGTCTCTCCAGCCCTGAGCATCAGACACTGGACATGAGCATAGGGAAGGAGGAGGGGGCCCAGGTGACTCATTCACAGCTCCAGGAGCTCAAAGCCATTGCCGCCGGGCCGTGACATCATAATGCTGGCCTCTGTCCTATGATGTGTCCATTGCAGGATCCACCTGTGAATGGAGGGCCACCTTCTCCGTGGCCTACCCCCGCCTCCCTGGTTCAGTTCCCAAGGACAAGGGGGAGAGGCATCGGTGACCCCGGGGGGGGGTGTCTCAATTTTTTGTCCCTTCTCTCAGGCTGGTCAACTATAGGCAAGGTAGAGGTCATTCTTCAGGCCCCACTTTGTGCGCTCCCGCGATCCCACTGGCGTGTCCCAGGACTCTCCCTTTTACCTCCTTCTACCTGATTGTGGGTGGCTGTAGCTCGAGCCCTTCCCTAGCGAGGGCGCTCAACAACCCAATAAGGCTCAGCTCTGCTTGTGGCTCAGAACCACACCTGACCCAGGGCAGGGGAGGGGGCAAGGTGAAGGAGGCTTCAGGCCCTCAACCTGGGACCTGCCCCTGCCTTCTGGCTTGGCCCTGGTGCCTGCGGTTGGGGCTGCTGGGCCTGTGGCATTTGGGGGGGCTGGGCCCGGTGCCCATCCCTGATACCCCAACTAGCCGTCCAGGCCTTCCCCAACAAAGGCCCCCATTCAGTCAGAGCCCCTGGGCAGGGGCAGGGATTGGGGCCTCTCCTGGGACACACACATCAGCAGGCCATGGAGTCAGTCCCTGCCTGCCCAGGAGTCCCTGAGCAGGTCTCAAGGGAGCTGCCTCTGTCTGCCCTCCGTGGTTCTAGAGCCTCTCAAACATCTGATGAGCACCAACTGAGACATGAAGGTTCTGGCCTTGGGTTCATGCATGGGGAATGCTGGTACACACAGATGTCTGGGGTTCAGCGTTGCCCAGAGAGTCAGAACCGGCCTGGGGGGTTGCTGGGAGGGTGGGAGGAGGGCTGGAAGAAGTCCCCTGCAGAGTTGACAATGTCTGAGGTGGTTCCTGAGGATAAGAAGGAGCCAGGAAGTAAGGTGGGAAGCGTATTCCCGGCAGAAGAAACAGGTGGGATCAAGGTTCAGAGGCACAAAATAGCATCCGTGGCCCGTGGGAGCTATAGGCAGATGCTTAGAGGTGAAGGTCGGGGAGGGGGTGGTGTGGCTGCCGCTGGAGAAGCCATCAGCAGGCACCAGGGTGTATGGACCGGGCTCTCCAGCTGCCTGCAACAGAAACTAACAGGCTGCTCTGGGCAACAACAGCATCTGTGGAAGATAGGAGGGAGGCCACAGAATCAGAAGAGCTAAAGACCCAGGCCTGGGGAACCTAAGGCTCAGGGCAGCCCTGGAGATCCAGGCAGCAGGAACTCAGGGGGATACCTCCCCAGATGAACCCTCCCCTACACCTTGCCATCAGCCCCTCCATCCCCAAGAATCAAGGTCCTTAGAGAAGGCACCCAGTTGGCTGAGCCTGGTCATGTGCCCGCCCCTTGGCTTAGACTGACAGTCACATCATAGGCGCTGCTTTGGGGGCTGGAAGTTTCCCAGAGCAAATCCCAGGCCCTTTGGCTGGAGGCTGGGCAATGGAGGCTGAGCAAGTGCTCAGCACACGGAGGCTCAGGGAAGCCCGGGGAACTTGGGCTTCATCCTGAAGACAACAAGCCGCTGGAGGGTCCCAGCTGAAGGAGTGGCCTGGTCAGACTGGCATTTTGGAGCGTGCCCTGGGGCTCAGAGTGGAGGTGAGCCAAACATTTGTCAGGACACTTCTAATGTCATGTGGCATGCCACGAGGTCAGAGCTGTTCTTTCACAGTGGGGAAACTGAGGCCCAGAGAGAAACTTGCCCAAGTCCTCGCTGTTGGGAAATTGTTGAGCTGAGCTGTTAATCTAGAAAGTCTGGGAGGTTGGGTTGCTGGGACTTGGATACTGATCCAGTGGGGATCCCACAAGCCAGGACATAGGACATATTTTAAATGTCACCCAGATATTCTTTACAGTTACAACTCTAAAAGGGTGAGGGGGACTGCTCCCAGAGAGACCCCATTAGTGCCTCTGGGCGTTGCATCTTCACCTGTCAAGGGCAGATGCCTGTCCCTCCCCCCGGCCCTAAGCAGATGCAGGAACAGCCTGGCCAGACCTCCTCTCTCCCCGGGGCTCAAAAACCCTAGGACCGCATCTCCCTCTCATTTAGGGCCCTAAACGACTGGACCCAGTATGGTCACAGGCAGCAGGGGGTTGTGGGGAAGATGGAACAATTTACTTCCCAGTAAGGATTTTATTTTGGGCCTCAAGTGTCCCACACCCACACAAGGCTGGGAGACAGACTGCGGCAGCTCTGGGAATATTTCTCCCTACCAGGCCCTAAAGAGCGATTCTGCCATGATTACCCGGGATTGACAGCTATTTTGGATTTACTGCTGCCTGGCGCTCTGCCTGGAGTCTCTCATTTACTTCTCAAAAAGCTCCTCCAAGGTCGTGGAAGCATGGCTCCATTTTGCAGAGGAGGACAATGAGGGTCTATGGGGCAAAGGAACTTGCCAAGGCACCTGGCTAATAACTGGTAGCAGGATGGGCTCCATAATTCGTGGAGCCTAGTGCGACCTGAAAGTGATGGGCTCCTGATTTAAAAAATTAAGAATTTCAAGACAGCAGTGGTGGGACACAAAACCAGTTATGGGCTCTTCTGAGCGCGGGCCGGGTGCATAGCTGCCCT